CATGGGGGAACACCCTCACGGGAGCCAGATCACAGGAAAGTCACACCCCATCATGGGGAACACCCTCACAAGCAGCCAGATCACAGGAAAGTCACACCCCATCATGGGGGAACACCCTCACGGGAGCCAGATCACTGGAAAGTCACACCCCATCATGGGGGAGCACCCTCACGGGAGTGGCATTATGGAATCCCACCTCCAGGTAACTTGTGTTTCTTATACACTCTAGTACCCACCCCCTAGAACCACAGGCAGCTGGAAGCTGGGGGTAACGGTGGGTGGGGATCTGGAGATGACCTATCCCCTGCATCTACCGCAAATGTCAGAAACTCCATCACCACAGACCTGCTACTAGGCCAACAGTTCTCTAGGTTACCGTAGAAACTTCTGCTCCGTGATGGCTGCTGGTCACATGACGCCTGAAGGAGAAAACTATGCAGGACACAGCCACAAACTCCTGTCACATAGTGACAGCCCATAACACAGCTGCGCAGTTCATAGTTGATATGTGTGAGAAGATTAAGTTACTGCTTCATAAGCTGCTCTATTGGGGCTCAGTGCATCAGCACCTTAAGGGGTCCCTCAGAGTTCTGTAAGAGGGCTTTGCCATTGTCGTATAGGACGGCAGCTCCATGAGCGTTACTGCTTCTGAAGACCGATGGTGTCATCCCCAAGTTCATTGCTAAGTCCAATAATATAAGTCCTCCCTGCCTCTCTCCCTCAAGAGCCATCTTTATTTTTAATTATGTATCTATGTGTGGGCTTGTGCCACCAGAGGCCAGAAGAGGGCGTCAGATCCTCTAGAGCTGGAATTAATAAATGGTTATGAGCCTCCTGACATGGGTGCTGGAAACAGATCTGCAAGAGAAGAATGTACTTTTAACCACTGGGAATTCTCTCCAGACCCTTTCTCTCTTCTTTAAAATCCAACCTAAAGCCAGGGTGGTGGTGCCCACCTTTAATCCCAGCATCCGGGGTCACATAGTGAGACCCTATCTCAGAAAAAAAGAACAAATCAAAATTACACCTAACTAAAAGTATGTGTTCATTTACTTATTTATTGTTATGCTAGGCAGGGATTCTACTGTCGAGCTGCATCCCCAGTGCCCTGAAATCCATTTTTCCCATGCAGACTTCTAGTGGCAGCTGCCTGCCTGACGCACCTGTTTCCATCACCTGACTCTGAAGTGGACCTCCGTAGACAATGTGTAGTTGGGCTTGTTTCCTTGTGTGACACTCTCTGGCGTCTCCCTGCCTCCGTACTGAGTGCTGTGTTCATGTCCTTGAACAGACAAGGCCAGTGTGCCACCAGTAAGCTTCCCCTTGGCCCTGACAGTCTCGGACTGAATTGCCCACTCATCCTTAAAGTTTTTAGTGATGTGACTGGATTTATACATGACATTTTCATTGTTTATTTTCTGTGTCTCCTGTCTTTTTTGTTTGTTTGTTTTCCTTTGTACTAAATGTCACATTTGAATACAGTGTAAACTCAATAGTACATTAGGTTACATATACTGTTTTGTACAACTGCTTAAGATAAATGAAGAAGAATGCACACATGTATTTACTGTATTTCACTTTTAATTACACTAAGTATAATTCTACTTCTATTAAAACGGCATTGTTACAGCGGGTAGTGGTGGTGCATGCCTTTAATCCCAGCACTTGGGAGGCAGAGGCAGGAGGATCTCTGTGAGTTTGAGGCCAGCCTGGTCTACAAGAGCTTGTTCCAGGACAGGCTCCAAAGCTACACAGGAAAACCCTCTAAAAAGAGAGAGAGAGAGAGAGAGAGAGAGAGAGAGAGAGAGAGAGAGAGAGAGAGAGAGAGAGAGAGATAGAAAAGAAAAGTTGTTGTTACCTTACTAGTTCTCTGGCTTTTGTTTTGTGAGTTTTGCTCCCTGTCTGAAGTCTCCTGTGTCTGGCTTGCCCCAAGCACTTCCTTCAGTGTTTCTCCCAAAACGGGTCTGCCTGCTACCCACAGATCATCTCAGGGTTTGTATGTGCGGAAATGTCTTTATCTCATCTCTCTTCGCACTAAATGTGCCCCTGATTGCGGCGTGACACTTTCTCCCAGGAAAGCAAGTCCACTTTTTCCTGCTGTCTTCAAGACTTCACCATCGTTCTTGACTTTGGTGCTTTGACCCTGCCATGTCCCCTTCATGGGTCATCATGTCTGTCCAGCTTGGAGTTAATTGAACTGCCAGAACACTAGGAAGTTCTCTGTCATAACTGTAGCAAAAATTCTTCTTTACTTCTGTCTCCTCTCCCTGTCTGGCATTTCCATTGAGCAAATGCTGGTGTGCTTAGGTTTGGAGTCCTTTTCTTCATTCTCTCTTTATGCACTGTGTAAAATGATCTCTCAGTCTACTTTCAAGTTCACTAATTCTCTCTTCAGCCACTTTAAAACCTACTGTGGACATTCCCTAGCATTTGCGATTTTACTTTCATTTTGCTTGTTTTTTTATGTAAACTTTATTTATGTATATAAGCATATGCCACAGGTGTGCAGGTACCTGCAGAGGCCAGAGGAGGGCGTCAGAACCCCTGGAGCTGGAGTCACAGGCGGTTGCGAGCCACCCAGTGTGGGTGCTGGGAACCAAACTCTGGTCTTTGAGAAGAGCAGCGATACCCTTCATCACTGAGCCATCTCTCCAGCCTGCTGCTTTATCTTTCAACTTCATAACTTTCTCTTGTTTGTTTCAAGTACGGGGATCTAAGCCAGAGTCTCGTGTGAAGCACTGGGTCTGTCACTGACTGACACCCTCAGATCTCTATTTGCTTAAAAAAATACTCTGTGTCTTCATTGACATTCTGTTATTGTGGCAATGTTGTCATGCATTCCTAACATCTTTAATTGGGATTTGAGTTGCTTCTCTTGGTTTTTATTTTGTTGTTGTTTTTATAGGGCAACGTCTTACTTGTTAAATTCTAAGTACTGGCTTAGAATACCAAGTCTTAGGACACACTCTTCGTTGCCACCATTTTTCGTTTCTTCACACTTTTGTTTTGAAACAGTATATTTTAGACAATCCACTGCAGCAACTCCATCCTTAACCCTTAGTACTGCCTCCTTGACACTTAGCTCCACATCAGAATTTGTTTGCTGATGAGTTGGAGGGTATCCTACTGGTGATGTCACCTTGTAACCCCACAGCTCTCTCTCTCTACCTCTCTCTAGCCTTGGTGGCTGCCTTGGTTCCCTTTGAGGGGACACTGGCAGCTCTCTCTCTCTCTCTCTCTCTCTCTCTCTCTCTCTCTCTCTCTCTCTCTCTCTCTCTCTCTCTGTTGTCTTCCCCTGACCACACCAAGAGCCACTGAGATGACTGCATTGCTGTCTTAGCAGTCATCTGAGGTGTAAACTACTCCACACTCTGACCCAGTCAAATGCAGGCTCCTCTGAAGCTGTGGTGTGTAGCCTAAAAAAATGTCACCTTTGCCCACACCCAGTGTTTCCCTTTACCTTCAGCTTCCAGGAAGCAACAGAAGCTCCAGGGTGTAAAGTTTGAGATGTGTCTTTGTTCCCTGGGGCCCTGGGGTCAATGGATGGTCTATGACTTGGTGAGGTGGTTGTAGGGACCATCTCCTGTCACCAAGTGGGCTCTCGTGGAGGAGGCAGTACAAAGAGCACAAAGTGGGGGGTATTATATTACTAACTCAGGTCTTAACAACTGAAAAAAATAAAACGGATCGCCACTCAGGTGAGTCCTTCTCATTTCCAGTGAGTCTTCAGCCCTCTGCCAGAGCAGGGAATCAGCAATCTGGCCCAGAAGGACTGAAACTTCAGGCTAACCCAGATCTACTGAGAAACAAGCTGACTCTGGTTGGCTGAACATGAGCACACAAATAAGGAGATATTCGGGAACAGTCAGGGAAGGGCTGTGTGTCAGAACTTAAATCTGCAGAGAGTTTCGGTTGCTATGGTAACTGAAGGCTTGCTGCTTTCCCTCCTGGGGGCTCTGGCCATCAATTTCCTTCAGCAGAGGTTTTGCTTCTTTTGCAGCTGCTGCTAAATTGATTGACAGCTGTCAGTAAGCCATTCTTTGTCTTCTGGGCTTGAGTTCCGCAGTCATACAGTGAGAGTAAGTTCTATATCTGGGTCAGGGGAACTGTTTTGTTGTTGTTTTGTTTTATTTGTTTTGTTTTCTAGAGACAAGATCCATTTGTGTAGCCCTTGTTATCCTGGAACTCACTCTGTCTACCAGGCTGGCCTTGAACTCACAGAGATCTACCTGCTTTTGCCTCCCCAGTGGTGGGGGCAAAGGAGTGCACCACCATCCAACTGAAACTTGTTTTATAAAAACAGAAATGAGCTTATTTTTGACCTTGTAACAAGATGACTACCAATCTTAAGATGGAGTCAGGCTGGTTCGTCACATGCCATCCCCTGAAAAGAGTATTTTGGATGGTGTAGCAGTTAAAATGAGATTTTGTGTGATGAACAGAAAATAATTAATACTGCTTTTAAAAGACAGATGTGAAGTCAGGTGTGGTGGTGCACGCCTTTGGTCCCAGCACTCAGGAGGCAGAGGCAGGCAGAGCTCTGATTTTGAGGCCAGTCTGGTCTATAGAGCGACCGCCAGAGCTACACAGAGAAATCCTGTCTCAAAAAAAAACAACAACAACAAAAACAAAACAAAAACCAAAAAAGAGAGAAGAGCACATGTGGACAGCCATGGTAGATACTGCAAAATGGAGTTCCCCTGACCCAGATATAGAACTTACTCTCACTGTATGTCATAGAATTTAACTTGAATCCTCTTGGAATTTGACTTGGCTCATACCTTGACCTATACCTACCCTCATAAGATAAGGTGTTCTGCCAAATAATATTGAGATGTCCTGCCAAGTTCCTATGTAACCAAAATTCCTCTGGAAATGCCCCAACCTTTAAACCTGTGGGTGATGACGATTCATGCCTTTGATCCCAGCACTTAGGAAGCAGAGGCAGGTGGATCTCTGAGGCTAGCCTGAGCTGGTCTACAGAATGAGTTCCAGGACAGTCGGGTACAAAGAAACTTCATTTCAAAAACCCCAAACCCAAAACAAACAAACCCCACGATCCCAGTTTTAAGCTATATAAACCCCACTTTCTCCTGTGTTGCATGCTGTTATTTCAAACCCCACGTTGGGGAGGCAGTCCTGTCTGGCAGAAAATAAATCTTGTGTAATTTGACTAACATAATTTGAGTAATAGTCTTTACCGTCATCCAGTGGGATTAACATGTGAGCAGTCAGCTCTAACCACTTGCCAACAAGCTCAATGTGGAGCTTCTCTGCAATGACGAATAGCATTTCTGCTCATCCTCGCAGCTGTGAGCTCAGGACACAGAGGGACATGCTTGCTCCCATCTTGTCTTCAAGGGCACTGTCCCCTTTTCTGGCTTCATGTCCTTGGAGAAGACAAGCCTTTTTCTTGGCAAAGTGGCATTGTCATGTGTCCGGCCAGTCCTTCAGGTAGCACCTGTTCAGGATGTCTAATGGATTTACTGCTTGTGGTGGGGGGGCACCCTGGAGACCCTGCACTCCGGAGGTAACAGGGGAATCACCAGTTCAAGGTCAGCTGGGGATGCAAAATTAAAAAAAGAAAAGGGACTTTACAGCATGGCTCTAGATACCCTCGAGCTCCTGCCGCTTCCAGGCCTCTCCGCTTTACTACACAGCTCCTCCTTCTATGTTGCTCCCTGTGAGGTCCCTGCAAGGTCCCGTCACTTAGAATGCCATTTCTCCACTTTGCAAGCGGGTGGCAAAGACTCATGAAGTCATAAGCAGCCTCGTTTCCTCAGCTAGTGTGCACGGCCTCACTCAGCCTCCAGGTCTGTGCTCTCATTACCGTTCAGGCTGCTCTCTCATAGAGATCAAACTCAGGACACAATACAATCTTTCCCATCCCCACCTCCAACCACACCGTGTCTCTCCTCCATCCGGGCTGGGGAGGCCCCATGCCCTACCCCATCTCCTTCCTGAATCTGTGTCCTGGTCAACTCAGAGGTCACTTACAAGTCTTACAAGGCTGGCAGGTATCCTGGGTCTTGTTGATTGGGTCATACACAGGGGGTCTCATGACATTGGCTACACTAGTCCATGAGGGCTTGAACTTTTGCTGGGACATTAATGAAGTAGGAAACCCTGACTCTGTAGTGGCTGGAAGAAGACAGCCGGCAGGAATCATGCTGTCCTTTCTAAAACTTTAATAGGAAAAGCATTCAGCAATGGAGGGAGAAGTCTGTCTGGCACCACACGCCTCTCAACTCCGTCAAAACTGCCTCTTTTGTCATTAGCGTTTGAGTGGCAGATCTATCACTTGTTTAAAAAAAAAAAAACAAAAACAAAAACCCTGACTAACAAAAGTCCCTGGCTTATACTACCTTCCCCGTTTACATACTTTTTTCAAAGACCAGAGCAGTTCCATGCACCAGGTGCTGCTGGGATCTGCTCAACAGATGTGGTCTCCACCTTCCTTGGATCCACAGCCTGCGGGAGACAGATGTCTGCCGGGTCAAGCAGGGTTGAACTGGGGCTCAGAGGTGGAAGTAGAGGGCAGCCGCAGGGGTTCCAGCCAGTACCAGCCAGAAGCAGGACGCTCCAGGGACACGAGCAGAGCAGTCCTCTCCATCCTGAAACCACCTGGGGCTTTGGGACAAAGCGTTCCACCCTCATTGCTTCAGGAAAGGGATCTGCCAAAGCAGGAAGCAGAGGGAGAAAAGAGAACCTCCTCATGACTCTGGCTCCAATAAGATCAAGGGTTATTATCGCTGAAGAAACAGCCTAGCAGCAGCAGCCCAGGTGGCACAGTGACCTCTCCTCAGCTCAGTTGGAGGAGCAGACTCCTTTCTCCCTCCAGCTCCCGCTCACTTTCCTTCTGTAGGAAGGAAAAGAATAAACGCAGAGGTTGCTGCTCCTCACTTCCCCTTGGCCTGAGCTTAGGCCTTGTGACCACGCCTGGCTGCAAGGGAGGTTGGGAAATGTAGTCAGTAGCTGGGCAATTGCTGTATCATGAAGGTGCCTCTTCACAATTCCTAGCTGGGAACTTAACTTCAAGGCCATGGTATTGAGAGATGATGCTCATGGGGTTGGCTTGGCCTTGAAGGATAATTAGATCAGTGCCCCTCTGAAGCAAATTCATCCCTTTCAGTCCTTTGTTGTGGGATATTTGTATTCAGTGTGAAGATGTATTTGTTATGATTGATGTTATAAAAAACTGAACAGCCAATAGGTAGGCCAGAGAGATATAGGCGGGATTTCAGGGAAAGAAAGGAAGAGCAGGAGAACCTGGCGCCCAGGAGACTCCAGGAGACACAGAGAGGAAACAGGAAGTACAAGATGGACGAGAGGCAGCGCCAGGTGATAAAACACAGATTAATATAAATGGGTTAATTAAGTTGTAAGAGCTAGTGAAGACAAGCCTAAGCTAAAGGCCAAGCTTCCATAATGAATAATAAGTCTCTGTGTCGTTATTCGAGAGCTGGCTGGTGGGACAGAGAAAAACACGCTATGTATGGCACCCAACCTCCGGGAACTATTTCCACATAGAGCCTGAAAAATCTTAAAAAACAAATCAAACACAAAAGAAGGCAGCTTCCTAGAAACCCGGTGCTTGCAGCTTACAGAGGCACAGCTGCTGTACAGTGAGCACTTGTGTCCCACTAAGTAGAAAGAACATGAGCTCAGCAAATTCCCAGAGCTGGGGCAGGTCAATACTGCCCATGGCTGGTGCTGCGGGCGTAAGGCTTGGCTCTCATGGGCCAGGCAGGACAGAGGCAGCCGCCAGCGTGGCTGAAATGGAGCTGCAGGGTTACGGCTTGGCTCCTGTGTTCAGAGAAGGCTGCCAGGGTGCAGTAAAGTGGTCCAGATGGAGAAAACATCTAAACAGGTACAGTGAAAAACAGCTATAGACAGTCATACAAAAAATTAAATAGTTTAAAATAATAAAGCCTTTAAAGAGAGAGCAAAGCAATATTAAAAAATAAGCCACATAAGAATGGAAAGTACACAGGGAGTCTGGGACCTAAATGGTGCTTTGTTGACTTTGAATTTTTAAAAGCTAATGTGCAAACAACAATTGCTGCTGAGAGATGCTGGATTATGGAAACTGATAAATTAAACCAACCTATATATTTTTTAAATGTCTTAACTTCAAAATGGAAGTCAGAAAATATCTTGCATTGGGGGAGGGTTATGCCTTTGTTTCCACAGGTTCTAATAATAAAGATCAAATTTGGTTGGGAGAGACCTCCTGAAAATCTTGGCTACAGACATAAAAAAAGAAACCAAGAAAGACTACAAGACAGGTGACATATATGTTGATCTCTCTACATGGGAACAGTTCTGAGACTGGATGAGACATGACTTATTATTACATGCCATCCTTTCATATGGATAGATAGAGATTTATATTACAGTTTGGCTATGCAGTCCAAACAGACTTATAAAGTCAACAGATGCTGTTTACCTGCTCAAACATAAACAGAAAATCATCCTTAGCTGACTTGTGTACACCACATATTCCATATCTGTGTTAATGCAGATATATGTTACCTTTATAATTTGTGTGCTTTCAGAACAAAAAGACCAGATACCAATAAAAACAAGTAGCCTAGGAGATCTAGCCTCTCAGAATGCCTCTATTGCAGTTTCCTCAAAATTCTGCATCTAGAACAACTTCAAGGCTGCTGGCTGAGATGGTCCAGTCTCACAGACTATCCAGCCAAGACTTCAGGTAAGTCCTACATTTTCCCATCACACCAAGACTAAACAACAACTATCTCTCCCAGGACTTGACCATTATTACAATTTTCTCAGGGTTCCCTAAAGATTCTGTCATCCCCAGACAACAGGAAGAAGTCTAGAGAACACAACGCCCACATTCCCAAGAGGTGGAATTGGTGGGTTTTGGTCATTTGATGGGTTATGGATGTTTGTCAACACTTAGGGGGGGGTTGGTTACAAGTTGGTATTGGTCATGGAGATTAGATTCAGTGATCTCTTTCTGAAAGGAAAAGTGGGGGGGGATATAGTATAGAAATGATGGTATAAAAGGAGTGAATTGTTGAGTCCACTTTTGAATAACCACTAACCTCCAATATTTTGCATTGGTATGGATTTTCATGTATTGATACAAATTTAAGGTAATTTTTGTGATACTGTATACATGTTTCTCCTTTTGTTTAAGGCATTGTACCTATGCAGCTCACTTAAAGATGTAATGTAAAGTTCTAGTCCTTGAAAACTATATAGGATAATAAAGAAATACAAATTAGTAGTTAGTCATCTATAACAATCAAACTTGTAGTCATGTTAGAAATGTTTTCGAGGTCATTAAGAGATATATTTTAGATAGATATGTTGTCCTCAAACACTTCAAAGATCTACAGAATATGGCATTTAAAATGCTTTAATAACATAAGGCTTTTAAGATGAGACAGGTCTGCTTCTGGCAGCACAAATTGGCTTCAAAAAAGGGATGTTTGGCATCAAAGAACCTCCAAATGCAGATTGATTTCTTTGTGACAAAGTTAGCCACGGGGCAAGAAATTACCCTTGCCTCAATTGCTGACAGTATGCTGTCCAAACTGAGCAAGCAGGACACAAAATAAAGTGACTGCGAAACTTTGCCAAGACAAGGTAGGACAATCCTTCAAAATTTCTGCTTCACAGAAAAGTCTGTCAAATATTCTAGGCCCATAGGCTGAAGATGGATGCCCCAAAATTACAGAGGACCCTTGGCTGACTGTCCAGACAGCCAGCTGTTTCTGTCATTTCTATAGTTTTGGAAGTTGCTTTCTCTTCACTTCCTATTTACTCAGGTAATATTATATCCTTCTTAAGTCTCTTATGAGGACTGAAAACTAGATATAGTTTTCCTTGTTACCAAATTCAGAAAAACTCACCAAAGAGGTGTAAAATATATAGGGTCGAGAGACATAATAGCTTAACTTTTTTATCTAAGAAAATGTTTTGGGGTCTAAAAAGATATTTTTAAGATGGTAATACAAGTTATGATAAAAAGTGGTTTAGGTATAAAACTTTGAATTCATCAAGATAGGATAGATAATGGAGTATTTTCTCCAAAATTGCCAATACAAATGGACTGGATATTGTAAATGTAATTCTTACTTGGTAATTGTTCTTGTTATATATAATTTTACTGTGTTAGGGTTAAACCCTCTTCTTTTTTTTTAGACAAAATGGGGAAATGTTACAGAATTGTTGTTTACACTGTGAAGATGCGTCTTTGCCAAGGTGCCTTCTGATTGGTTTAGTAAAGAGCTGAATGGCCAATAGCTAGTCAGGAAGATGTTGGGTGGGACTTCGTGAGACAGAGAGGACTCTGGGAAGAAAAAGGCAGAGTCATCACCCAGACACAGAGAGGAAACAGAAGTTGCAAGATGGAAGAGAGGTAATTCCACCTGGTAGAACACAGATAAAAAAGTATGGGTTAATTTACGTTATGAGAGTCAGTTGAGACAAGCATAAACTATAAGGCTAAGCTTTCGTAATTAATAATAAGTCTCTGTGTCATTATTTTGGAGCTGGCTGGTGGCACAGAGAAAGATTCATTACAGTCCTTCCACTGTATGAGGACATATCTCAGACTCCTCTGCTTTAGAACTGTCAGAAATAAAATTCTACCCTTATAAATCATTCAGCCTAAGGTGTTTTGTCGTGGCAGCAGAAATACACAAAGACAATAGTCATATACCAAACTGAAGCTTTGTTGCCTTGACATGAGATCCACATGTGTGCGCACACTCATGTACTTGATCCCTTGGTGTACCCGTGTGGAAGCCAGGTGACTTCTTTATTTCTCTCATCTCATTTCTTGAATCAATATCTCTTGCTGACCCTTATCTCCCCAGTTTGGCTAACCATTAATCATTAATCAAGAAAATGCACTACATACCTACCTCAGAAAATGGAGGCATTTTCTCAACTGAGGTGTCTCTTCTCAGGTAACTCTAGATTGTGTCAAGTGGGGTGTATGTGAGGTTTTTGGTTATTTGTTTTATTTTTGAGGCAAGTTCTAATGTAGTCCCAGCTAGTCCTGAACTCACTCTGTAGCCAAAGATGACCTTGAACTCCTAATCCTCCTGTTCTGCCTTCCAAGTGCTGAGATTTACACACACATATGCTACTGAGTCTGGTAATGTGGTGTTGACGATTAAAGTAGGCTACTACTCTCCCAACTGGGCCATATTCCCAGCCATCAAATTATTATCTTAGTTACTGTTCTATTGCTGTTTCTCTGCATTGTTTTGGAGGCTATCAGTCCAGCCCAGCCTTGAACTCACAGAGATCCGCCTGCCTCTGCCTCCCAAGTGCTGGGATTAAAGGCGTGCGCCACCAACGCCCGGCACTGGGTCTGGACTTTTATGTTTGTTTTTCAAGACAAGATTTCTCTGTAGTCCTAGCTATCCTGGAACTCTGTAGTCTAGACTGGCTTGCCTCTGCGGTCCCAGTGCTGGGATTAAAGGAGTGCCCCTGGTTTGCTCTTTTGAAACCTCAAAATCCACCCCTAGTGACACACTTTCTTCAGCAAGGCCGCTCCTCCTAATCCTTCCTAACAGTACATCAACTGGAAGCCAAGCATTCAAATGCCTGCATTACCCTGTAGGGGCTGCTCTCATCTGATATACCACAGCAAGTTTGATTTTTAAAATTACTGTGTGAGTTTATGAATTGTATTTTACAAGATGGTTACTTTTTTTTTTTTTTTTTTTTTGCTTGGGCTTAGGACAGAGTTTCCAACAATTTCTGAGATGTCCCCAAGCCGTGCCCTCAGATGCCCTCCATTTGCCAACAGCAGCTGAAAATCACCAGGTTCTGAAATCCCAGGGGTGGTAAGAGATTGCTGTTCATCCAGACCTCTCTATACAGGCTGTCCAGGTCAGAGCCCACAATAGCCT